TCCTCTCTACCCAGGAGGACCATGTTCCCACTGTAGAAGGGAGTGGAGATTTTGGGTCTCAAGAGGCCTTACTTCCTGTCTCTTGCCTCCGGGCAGCAATCTTGATGAGAGTCACTAACAATGGAGAAAATGTTGAGATGCTGAGCCTACAAAGTTATGCAGCAACAGTAGGCAGGAGCCCTGACACAGGGCATTGTCTGTTAAGATAAGCCAGTGCACCTGGTTCAGATGCCCATACATTCACTCCTAAGTGGAAAGGGCAACGTAATGACCCGCCCAACACTACAGCTGATGCCTTCCAGCAGGAGACTGTTTTGCAAAACGTTCCACTTGCTTCACGCATCAAGACGGAAGGCTCCAAAGTAGGTGCTTTCTTCATCATGGTAGTTGATGTCCAGCGTGGAGACAGACACAAAGAGCTTATCACCAGCCTTGAGGTCAAAGAGGCCCCCTTGGTAAAGAGCATGGAGCCCGTAGGTGGCATCCTGTGCCCAGCACTTGGTGCCCACGCCTTTCAGCAGTGGGATGGTCTGCCCATTGCTGCTCTGGAGGTTGATGCACTGCACCAGCTGATGGCCCGAGGCCTGGGAATTCATGCCTTCTGTGGGGTAGTGGAAGTAGATCTGGGCATAGATGTAGTATTTGCCTGCCTGGCTTACATGCAGCTTGCCCTCCCGGTAGGTGAGGTTCTGCAAGTGTGAATGCATGGTTTTATGCGCCCAGTAGGGAATTGGGAGCTGGCAGGACTGAGGCAGCTCCCCAAAGAGGCTCGGGCTTCCTGCAAGGAGAACACAAAGAGAGGTGTCACAGGGAGGCCAATGTCTGTGCAGCCATGCAGAGAATAGGCTGTACTTGCATGATGGATGACAGGGGTACCTCTGTAAGGTGGACCTTGAAACTTCAAAGCCCACAGCTGCTTTTACATGTTGGGGTCTGTTTCCCAGTGGAGCAGGAAAGCTCCCCTGTATGGATGAGAGAAGTGGTTTTCCCTCTCTCTCTTTTCTCTTTGAACTTGAACAGAGGGGTCCTCTAGTAACTTCCTCTAGTAACTTCCATGGGGAACCAGGGGCAGCTCTCTCCTCCTGTCTTGACAAGGGTCTCAGTGCCTTCACTTCAGTAATGGCAGCTACTGCTGTTTCCACTGCTGCTTGCTGACAAACCCATAGTGAGAAGACCCATTAACTGACCTTTGCCGGAGTCACTGCAACAGTGTAGATGTATGCAAAAGCCTGGAGTCCAGCAGTAAGACAAAGGTACTGACCTCTGACCTGCCTCCAGCAAGGCACCCTTGGCTTGGAGCAGTGGAAGCAGCAGCAGCAGAGCAAAGGAAGGTAGAGGCCGACCAACCTGACAAGTGGGCTAAAGCCAGGGAGCCTCTGCGGTGTTAAGACAGGGACTCTGCCAGGGCAACGTGAAAGCCTGAAGATTAACTCACGCTGGGGAAATCTCCAATTATAACAGACGTACATGAGAGAGGTGTACATTGACATGGGCTCGTGGGCTCCACTTGATCCCCTCGGACCACCTCCACTTTGGTTTTAGATTGTCACTCACCTGCCTGGGATGGCTTCCACCCCCTGAGTGTGAGGTGTGCGGAAGGTTTGCTGCCTGGCTGTCTGATCACCAGCTGCCCGCTGGAAGAGTTGGCGGGCTTGTTTGAAGTATCTGCAGCAAGAGAGAGACAGATGTCAACCTGAGTGTGTTGGAAATTAAGGAAGGACAGGTTGCATGAGGTATGGGGGGGGGAATAGCTCAAGTGTTATAGGAGGAATGAGGATTTGTCCCTGGGTACCAAATCCTCCGTCCCTAAGAGAAGCCACTTGCTACAGGGGACTTAGTGCCTTTGGGGTCAGGGTGTGGTCTTCCTTGAAGCAGAATGGAACTGTTGCTTCCTCAAAGCACTCTGGCCCATCATAGCTTGATTAGGGGGAGAAGGGAAGGAACTTGCCGGCTACTGCTGGCTTTTGTGTTTGAAAATTCAGGCCAGAGGATGAAAGGGGCATAGAAAGGTGGAATCCTTTCCAGAACATGGCAGAAGAACTGCCTCTCTCCGTCCCCAACCTGCCAGCTCTGGTGTGTCCACACCAAGTTCTGCTTGGAGAAACCTAAGACCGGCCAGTCTCAGGTTTCTCCAAGCAGAACTTGTCTTTCCCTGCCTTCGTTATTCAGACAGACATTTTTGCTCAAATGTCCTTTGAATTCAGTTTGCTCCTAATTTGATTTCTGCAATGATTTTTTAAAAAACCTATGTAGCCGTACTGCCCAACCTTCCCTGCTTTGACTCACCAGTCTGAGCACTCTTACGAATAACGCTGTCCGTCACCTGGAAGGAAAGACAAGCACAGAGAACGTTCCTTCAGTTCGAGTAATCCCAAACTGACATATATTTAACAGGCAGGGATGATGCCGGTCTCCTGATTTAATTGGGTTTTGAGACAAAAAAATTTGGCCACCAAATCTGTGATGCCTTCCCCCCCTATTGGATCGCTGATCTCCTGGTGAGACCAAGAGATCTCTTGGAATTACAACTCACCTCCACATGCCAGAGATTAGTTCCCCTGGAGAAAATGGCTGCTTTGGAGATTATTCTATAGCATCATTCCTCTGAGATCCCTCCCATCTCCAAAGCCCACCATCTTTAGGCCCCACCCCCGAATCTCCAGGAATTTTCTGACCTGGAGTTGGCAACCTTACCTATCATTGTCGGGGTGTGTGGGGGGGGGTTGCTCTGATGCCTTGGTCAACACCCAAATGTGATAACTCTGATCTCTGGCAATTATTTTGAGAATGCCAGTATTAATTTACCGGAAAGAGGGGACAGAGAGGTGGCTAAAGAGCGCGACTGGAGCCCACTCCTGTATGGCTACACTCCCAGTTCTGTGGCCATGGTCTTCCCAGCCCGAGGCTCACCATGGCAACATAGGCCTTGATGTTGCTGGCCAGCTTGAGGCAGGACTGGTTGCCGATCAGCTCGTCCAGGTCCGAAAGTTCCTGCATCCGGCTGAGGAGCAGGAGGCAGTGCCCCTCCTCAGAGCTGCCCTGGGCCTGGGCCTTGAGCTGAGGGAGGAGAAGGAAGGAGTCTATTAGAGGGGGGAGGGGTAAGAGGCCTGCCTGTCGACAGGGGGGGAGGGGCCGCACCTCTCACAGCACCCTCTGTTGAAGCCACTGCTGGGTAGAAGTGGTGCTTATCTTCCAATATGCAGCACTCCACATAGGTGAAAGATCATTCCCTGATGTAGAAGCATGGAGCAATTTCCTGCCTGCAGACAATTACCTTGTCAGAGAGTTAGGTGAGATTTTTCAATTCTGCCTCTTGCAAATTAATGAACAAATGTGTATGCAAATATACTGCCTGCAGCCCACTTTAAATCTCTGCCTTACAGCTGGCCCTAAGTTAAGTACTGACAGCGGCAGCTGCGGCCTCTGGCCTGACCAACTAGAGTTCAGCCAAGGGGTGAAATAGAGCATTATGAGGCCCCCTACATATTATTCCCAGATCAGAAAATATGTCCCAGAGATGAGGCTGTAGTTACTCTTGCCCCCCCTTCAGGGAAGTCCCCCCTCCATTCGCCAGCTGGAAGTGCTAAGAGGGCAGTTGTTTTCGCCAAGCAAATGGAGGCAACAAAGACCCAGAGGGAGCGAGCCTTTATCTACTGAGCATGGAGCAAAAAATGCAGTGAGTCACTGTGGTTTAAGCTGGGCGTCCAGCCCACTTCTTCAGTGATCCCCGAGGAACTGGGTCAGGCATTGTGAAATGAACTCTGTGTGTGTGCATTTGTGTTTAAAAACAAAAGCTTGCACGAGAGAGAGAGCGTGCACCAGAGCTGGGCCACAGACATGCCTGCCGGCTGTTAGAGAGGCTGAGTCAGCACATCGTTTCCCTGCAGACAGTGCTGAGTCCTGACTAAGGCCAAAACAGGACCTACAGAAGGGCGGGTGAGACTGTCTCCGCTCAGTGTGGATAAGCTGTCCTCAAGGGGGGGGGGGGCAAGATGCCTGCCACCTTCTAATATAGGTCTCCCTTGCCTCTGAACTCAGATGCTGACACAGTGAGAGATGCTTCCTACCAGGACACTGTGACATTTCCCTCACTGAAGTGCCATCTATTTCTCTGCCTCTTTCAGTTCCCCCCAACTACAATGCCTGCAGGATCACACTGGACCAACATTCACTTCAATCCCCATTCGCTAAAACCTGTCACAAGACAGGCCCCAAAGAGACAATAACAGAACACCACTAGTGGTCACATACAGCTCTCAACTCAAAGGAGTTCAATGCATCATCTGCGATTTAACAACCTCTACTGGACAATGGGAGCTGCGGTGGCTCAAGTGGTTTAAGACCCTGAACTGCAGGCTGTCAAAGGTTGGTAGTTCAGCAGTTCAAGACCCAAGTGTGCTGCATGACGGAGTGAGCTCCCGTCTCTAGTTCCAGCTCCTGCCAACCTAGCAGTTCGAAAGCAAGAAATTGCAAGTAGATAAATAGGTACCACTTAGGTGGGAAGGTAACAGCGTTCCGTGCGCCTTGGTGCTTAGTCGTGCCGGCCACATGACCACCGAAACGTCTTCAGACAGTGCTGGCTCTTCGGCTTTGAAACGGAGATGAGCACCGCAACCCTAGAGTCGGATTCGACTGGCTTTCGAGCAAGGGAACCTTTACCTTTACTGGACAGTGACAGTTTTCTTTCACAAGTACTGGGGGGGCAAACTTTTTCTTGCCCACAGACAGCCCCCCAGTCCTAAACAGCTCCTCACCCACAATAATACAACATCTAGTTTGAACATAGACACTGGTACCAGAGCTTGCAGTAAACCCAGATGCCAATTTTGCTGCCCCATACACCCAGACAACACAATCACTGGACCCAACAACATCAACTGCACCATTTCAGGCTCATTCACTTGCTCATCCTCTAACATTATATGTGCCATTAAATGCCAACAATGCCCTTTGGTTCTCTACATAGGGCAAACGAGTCATACCCTACGCCAAAGGATAAATGGACACAACTCTGACATCAAGTATCACAAAACTGAGAAATCTGTAGGAGAACACTTCAGCCTTCCAAGACATCCAATAAGGGACCTCAAAGTAGCTATTTTATTGCAAAGGGACTTCAGAAATAAGCTAGAATGGGAGATTGCAGAGTTACAAGTTATTACACCACTCAAGACAATGGAACCCCTAAGGCTTAAAAGAGATATTGGTTTCTTATTGCACTATTTATTTATTTAGTTTTTTAAAAAAATTTAATTCGTTTTAAAATAATCATTAACAACAATTAACATCAAAAGCATTGAGCGTATATTCCACCCTCCCTGCAAGTGGGCTCAGGGCGGCTCACAGGGCCATTTGGCACCGCAATATAAATACATTAGCAAACCATTAAGAACAATAATTTAAAACAGATTGCACTATTTGTGCACACAATCTCTGGATCTCTGAGGTCTAACTTAATCTGGGCCCCGCCCCATAGCGATGGTGAACTTCAGCACAGCAGGAGAGGTTGACCTTTTCACTGGACCCCCACTGCCTCAGCCAAAGGCCTAGTCACCTCCATTTTACTATACATGCTAACATCGTTCAGTTCTCACGTCTTTTGTAAACTACGTTTACTACGCTGTATGCTATTGTGCTGCTATTCACAGGTCTTACCAATTGCCTTCATCCAGTCAGCTATATTCACGGCTCAGTTACTTATGCATCTTGACTCTAATTAGCCCTTCATGGCAACATCCTCCTCACCTGCTACCTATATGTAAAGGTTGGTGACTTCTGTTTCATTGTATCTGAAGAAGTGTGCGTGCACATGAAAGCTCATACCCAGAATAAAACTGTGTTGTTCTAAAAGGAGCCCCTGGACTCAAACTTCGTCCTCCTGTTTCAGACCAACAAGGCTACCCCCACCTGAATCGATGCTCAGCTAGTATGAGCATTACTCTTGAAACCATGAATCTTAGGTTTCAGCAAAACTGTTGAGGGCACAAAAGAACCACCAAGGATGCTGTGTTTATAAAAGAAAATGAATATGAACAAACTTTAATTTAAGAAACACAGGGAGTCCAACCCTTCCTAATCACATCCCTAGTATCTTCACTTTCTACCTTACTGTATAAAAATGCAGTCAGAACACTTCTCTTTCTGTCATTCTGTTAATCAAACACTCCATTTTGCATACTTTCCCCCCTCCCAGTCCATATTCTTACCTTTTAAACCACCTATCAAGAACTATGCACACAATTTCAACCTTTATGGTATTTTCTGCCACTCTTGCACACATTGCATCTCAGACATCCACTACGCTCTGTCTCTTGAGATTCTCTGATCAATGCTAACCTTCATTAATTCCCTGGGAGGTGGCAACATGTTTCCAGAGAATTCCTGCTTGCCTTTCTCTTCAGCCCCATGCATGCTGTGCAGGCAGGCACATGCTCCCAGTTCGTGGCCAAAGAGACAGGAAGAGAAGAATATGGTAGAGGACAGAGATCAGGCTGGATGTATGTATGGAAGGATGAGGGGGTGGCACTTTCTTCCCCAGGGTTGTCACCTTTTTCCTAGCAGGGTTTCTGTGCTTTTAGCAGCTGTAGGGTCTAAGGCAGTACATCAGGAACTCCAGGGCATCAAAGGCAGGGAAGCAAATTATTGTTAGGGTAATTAGTAGAAAGAACTAAATACTACATTGGTGATCTACATCCTCCCTCCCCCAGGCTCGGGCCTCATACACACAAGAGGAATCCTGCAGACTCAGACTAAAGGTCTTGTATCTTGCAAACAGGATGCCCCTAAGAAAGCAACAAGCAAAAATAAAATAAAAAATGAATGCAACAGTTCTCCCTGCTATTACACCCACTTGAGTATTCTCAAGTATACTGCATCTGCACATGGAGGTTCCATTTAGCCATCACTAAATAGTTGCTGCTCAAACGTGTGATCTAGCCTCCCATTTAAAAATAACTGTCTGAGGTGCTTGACTGGCAGTGGTCATTTCCACATGCAAGGTATAATGGCTGAAACAACAACTAAGGAGTGGTCGACAGAGATGTGTGAACACAGCCTCATTCAGCTTTGAGAAGGCAGCAAAGACAGTAACAGGCTACAGCCCCTCTTCTGAGCAGCATCCCAGCCTGCAACGGGCTCCTCTTAAACTGTAGGGAACTTCCCTTCCTCCCTTTCCTGCACGCAACTGGCTGCAGCTCAGGGGAAAATGAAACCCAGATTAAGCCTGGAAGCCTAGTTCGGGGAACTGGAACAGCCACTCCCATCCTTCTCTGGCTATGTAACACCTACCTGTTTACCAATCTTCTCCCAGAGTAATACGTGCTAGACTCTGATTGCGGTGGAATCACCACTGGTCTTGCACCACTGCCAGATAAGGAGAAGGTGGAGGCTGCCAGTACAGGGAGCTGACCGGTTTACTACAGGGATCTTTGAACCCTGTCTAAATTTGTCATACATGTTTTGTGGGGTGCTCAGTGCCAGCGGACCCAGCACCTGCCATGACCTCACTGGGTCAACTGCCACTTATAACCCCTGTCTCGTCTGATTCTTTGTTGGTTGAGAGTATAAGCTACCAAATATCCACAGTGATTCTGCACTAAAGGACCTCCCCACTCACTGGCTTTCAGAGATCCAAAGCCACAATGTGGCCACTACGTTTTATGGACGGAGTCTTTGTGCTTTCAGTACCTGGGCGACTGGCAGAGGTCAACAGTGGAAGCTCTACAAGTCATGGCTGTTCTATGCTGGCAAAAACGTCCCCTGTGAATTTCAGACTGGTGTGGTTCTATTCAAGATGGACAGTACCTGTCCTTTAGAAAAGGGGAGGCAATGCTACACCTCCACAACATGCACACAGGAAACAAAACAGACAGCTTTCTGTGTCCCAAGGTTGAGTGGCAGGTTGCCAACAATATGCACAAAAGCTGTAAGGGCCTTTTCAAAGAAGTTACAAGGAAATGTTTTTCCCCACTGAGGTTAATTATTGTACAAAAGATTCACAAGCAAGGCAGGCCACCACTGAAGATGACAGACATGTTCCCCTGCCCCCCCCCCCAGCATCTCACCTGCTGCAGCTTCTTCACATCCTACGTGCAACCTGGGCCTGTCTTACCCAAAGGCCTTTTCTATTACGATGCATTTGGGCAGCCACAACCTTTCCCAGGGGAACAGGACTGCAGTCTGTGGTTTTGTTTCACTTGAACTGATTGTAGATTCCGAGCTCAAAATCAGCCCATCTTTCCAGGAGCCCCTGGTCGTAACATCCCCACTCAATAATACAATGTAATATCTCAGCCTTCTCATGCTGGTCCCCACCTTTGCCGCTAGAAGTCACTGATCCGTGTTTGCAGAACCTCACTCATGCTCTTATCCACCTGTCTAGACATTCTTGGGTACCCTTATCCACATGGTCTACATTGGCTTCCTCCTGTCTGAGAATCTGGCTTCCTGAATACTGTTGATTGGTGAGAGACAGCTCTTCTCTTCCAGCACCTCCAGAAAGGAAGGTCTGAATTCTCCCCCATACACTATGACACAATTGAAAATTCATGAGAACTCCCCACCCCCCTTAGAAAACAAGATAGACTGGCTTCAGAAAATAGCCCCTCTTCCAGGCATCCATTCTACTGTAACTTGTAGTCTGTTCCTTCTCAATTTTGATAGGAACAAAAAAAATCTATTTATGCATCTGCTGTCCATTCCATCACAAAGGGCTGATTGCTCGAACCACAACTGTGAAGGATCCCATTCAGCTGAACCCAGTCTTCTCCCAACCTCTCAAAAGCCAGGCCAACGGGGAAAGAAGACTGCAGCAACCTTGAGCTTCTTCCCGTATGTTTTTTGCACATGTGTGTGCATGTTTTTAATGTCCAAACAGAATCCAAAAGACAGTGGATTTTGTTGCATTTAAATACATATTTTTCTTTCAAAGGGCAGATGTGGGGAAATGAAAAAAAAATGCCTGTGTAGTCTATGGTGGTCTTGTGGCCTTTCCGAAAGAGCAAGGGGACTTCTGCAAAGAGAAGCCTAGCTCAAGAGCTGTGCCTCCGCATTTTCCCAAGGGGAGCAGTGGAATTGAAAACAGTTACTATGACACAACGTCAGGCAAACGCAAAACTAAATTGTCTGTCTTTGCTTTACTCAGTGTGTTCTGTGTTTTCGATAAGCCAAACTGACACTTGTGGAGATTTTATGTGTCTCAAGTACAGTTGAGGGCACTTTCTCACTCAGCGAATTAGGTATAAACTGGGCTATCAGTTTCTTCTGCAGACCTTGGAAAATCACCCTCCAGGGTATCTCCGGCAATCTGAAAACCCGAAGATTTCAAAACAGTAAAGTCCTTGCTGTTTACTCGGGACTTAAAGGTTGAGCAGAGCAATTACCTTTGGTTCACCTCTGCAGATTGAAGAGGCAGGTTTCTAAAAACTGCAAGCTCCAAATCTGAGGCAGCCACAAACCTTCCAGAGCCAGGCTTGCAAACCAAATCCAGGTCTTGAACCAGGGCAACCAACCCTTGTTGCTTTTCCTCTAAGGAAGGGGGAGAGGGGTTTGGTCCTGTGGGAACGGCAGGGCTTTGCTTTCACTTTCCCACAGGGCTGTTTATCCGACCGCTCCTGCTCAGGTCAGCACAGCGATCCTGGCCGAGCCAGTCAAAATACTTGGAAAGCAAGACTGGAGTGGCGCTCTGATTCTAAACATTCCTCCTCTCCCTTCCGGATCGCCGCCGCTCCAAAGAACTTCACAGTTTAACCCAACGGAGGGAGGGAGGAGCTTTAACACGAGGGCGCGCTTGACAATAAGGTCTGCAATGCACACAACAACATCGCGGGATAGTTTCGCCATGGAGCGGGCAATCGCACGTCTGCAAACTGCCGCCCCACCCCCTCGACACAGGCTTGGCTCCTTTCCAGCGGCGCAAGAAGAATCACCTCCAGGCAGCCAGCCTGAGGAACGGCTCAGCAAGCCGGTTCTTCACGCTGGTTTCTAAGGAGCCGCAAACCAAGGGCCGGCAGGCAAGACCGGGGAGGGCTAGTAGTGGCTTTGGAGCGCCATTCGCAGCCCAAACATTGACCGCCGCGGGACTGATTTGAGCGTAAACGTGCTTTGACTCGTTCGACTACTGGGGCTGCGATTTTCAGCACAGCTGCTTGGAAGCGAGTCTTGGGGCCGAAACCGAAGGTTCCTCCTCGCCCCCCGCCCAAGAGGGATCGTTGGGAGTTCCGAAGGGGCAAAAGCAGGGAGGGAGGAGGGCTGTTCTAGTCTCTGGCGGACGGAGCTCTCGCGGCCTTCTGCCAGAGGAAAAGAACTCCCAAATCGACGGCAACCCCGCGTTTGTCCCACTTCTCGCCTTCTGCCGTAACCAGGCAAGGCAAGGCCGTCAGGTCAGGAGCCACCGTCTGCCCTGTTTTCTTACACACACACACTCCCGGGAGGATTAAGCAGGCCTCCTGCCTTCAGCATCTGCGTGCGCTCCTCTTGGCCTGGGAAGCGACTGTCCAGGACTCCGAGGGAGAGCTTCGGTATCTTCTCTTCCCCCCCCCTCCCCCGGGCTTAAGCGCTTTGCGGATCGCGGCCCGATTCCCCGCCCCCCTCACCTTGGAGATGGACATCGTGAAGTAGACGAAGAGGCCGGTGGTGGAGGCGATTTGCAGGGCCAGGATGCCCATGGCGGCCACGGCCAGCCAGACCGGGCTGCAGCGCTTTTTCCGACGGTACTTCTCAGCCCGGGGCCCGTCGCCCAGCATGTGGGCGGCAGAGTCGCTGCTGTCGGATCGGAAGTACGGCTGGCTCGGGGCTGCCTGGGTCATCCTGGCGGCATCCAGAGGCGATCCGGAGCTGCTCTGCTTCTCCTCGCGCAATAGCCTCTCCACTCCCGGGCCAGGAGGAGGTTCGAACTGAGACTAGGACCCGCCTCCGGGGGCCGGGCGGACGAAGTTCAGACCCACCAGCCCGCCGGATAAACAAAGAAGGCAGCCCGGCCACGTGGAGGAGGAGGAGGAGGAGAAGGCGCCGCTCCGGCTGCTCAGCCAATTTCGCCCCGCCCAGCAAGCCTGATCCGAGAGACAGTCGACCCGCTTTTGGATCGCTCCGTTGTAGCTGGCTCCGATCATTTGCCAGGAAAGACAACCACTAGCCACAAATAACGTCCCACGCGGTATTTGTAGCTGCTGGGCCAGCTCGTCGTTTGCACTGGCCTACCTGCCAACCTAGCAGTTCCAAAGCAAAAAATTGCAAGTAGATAAATAGATACCACTTCGGTGGGTGGGAAGGTAACAGCGTTCGTGCGCCGCCACATGACCACGGAAACGTCTTTCGACAGTGCTGGCTCTTCGGCTTTGAAACGGATATGAGCACCGCAACCCTAGTCAGATTCGACTGGCTTTCGAGCAAGGGAACCTTTACCTTTACTTACCAGGAGGTAGAGAAGAGGCTGTTCACGTTCCTCCCATGGTACTTCCCAGCCGCAAAGCAGATACCCACACGGCATATATGTGCGGGGTCGAAAGAGACTCCCTCCAGGGAATGGTGGTGTGAACGGACTGGGGAAGGGAGAGATCTTCCCTGCCTTTTGCCACGATTAAGAACGTAAGAGGAGCCCAGCCGGATCAGAGCTGTGGCCCATCTCGTCCAGCATCCTGTCTCACGCAGTGGCCAACCAGTTCCTCTGGACGGCCAACAACAGGGGATAGAGACCGAGGCCTTCCCCCAACCTTGCCTCCTGGCACCAAGATTCAGAAGTTGACTGCCTCTTCCAGCACCTCCAGAAAGGAAGGTCTGATTCTCCCCCATACACTATGACAGAAGTGAAAATTCATGAGAACTCCCCACCCCTTTGAAAACAAGACAGGCTGGCTTCGGAAAATATCCCATCTTCCAGGCATCCATTCTACTATAACTTGTAGTCTGTTCCTTTTCAATTTTGATAGGAAGGAACAAAAGAATCTATTTATGCATCTGCTGTACACACACACACACACACCCATGGCTGCTTTGGCCTGTAAACCAGTTAGGCTTAGCTTATAAAGTACGGCTGGCTCGGGGCTGCCTGGGTCATCCTGGAGGCATCCAGAGGCGATCCGGAGCTGCTCTGCTTCTCCTCGCGCAATAGCCTCTCCACTCCCGGGCCAGGAGGAGGTTCGAACTGAGACTAGGACCCGCCTCCGGGGGCCGGGCGGACGAAGTTCAGACCCACCAGCCCGCCGGATAAACAAAGAAGGCAGCCCGGCCACGTGGAGGAGGAGGAGGAGGAGAAGGCGCCGCTCCGGCTGCTCAGCCAATTTCGCCCCGCCCAGCAAGCCTGATCCGAGAGACAGTCGACCCGCTTTTGGATCGCTCCGTTGTAGCTGGCTCCGATCATTTGCCAGGAAAGACAACCACTAGCCACGAATAACGTCCCTCGCGGTATTTGTAGCTGCTGGGCCAGCGCGTCCTTTGCACTGGCCTACCTGCCAACCTTTCAGTTCCAAAGCAAGAAATTGCAAGTAGATAAATAGGTACCACTTCGGTGGGTGGGAAGGTAACAGCGTTCCGTGCACCTTGGTGTTTAGTCATGCCGGCCACATGACCACGGAAATGTCTTCCGACAGTGCTGGCTCTTCGGCTTTGAAACGGATATGAGCACCGCAACCCTAGAGTCGGATTCGACTGTCTTTCGAGCAAGGGAACCTTTACCTTTACTTACCAGGAGGTAGAGAAGAGGCTGTTCACGTTCCTCCCATGGTACTTCCCAGCCGCAAAGCAGATACCCACACGGCATATATGTGCGGGGTCGAAAGAGACTCCCTCCAGGGAATGGTGGTGTGAACGGACTGGGGAAGGGAGAGATCTTCCCTGCCTTTTGCCAGGATTAAGAACATAAGAGGAGCCCTGCTGGATCAGAGCCCTGGTCCATCTTGTCCAGCATCCTGTCTCACACAGTGGCCAACCAGTTCCTCTGGACAGCCAACAACAGGGGATAGAGACCAAGGCCTTCCCCCAACCTTGCCTCCTGGCACTGAGATTCAGAAGTTGACTGCCTCTTCCAGCACCTCCAGAAAGGAAGGTCCGATCTCCCCCCTACACTATGACACAAGTGAAAATTCATGAGAACTCCCCACTCCTTTGAAAACAAGACAGGCTGCCTTCGTAAAATATCCCATCTTCCAGGCATCCATTCTACTATAACTTGTAGTCTGTTCCTTCTCAATTTTGATAGGAAAGAACAAAATCTATTTATGCATCTGCTGTACACATACACACACACACACCCATGGCTGCTTTGGCCTGTAAAGCAGTTAGGCTTAGCTTATAGTAGCTGTGTAAACAGCCCCGTATTGCAAGGCCCACTTATGTGCAGATAGCCTCTCCCTGCATGGCAGTTCAGATTTAGCCATTTGCCAAGTGACAAGAAGAAGAAGAAGAGATTGGATTTATACCCCTCCCTTCAGTACCCAAAGGTGTCTCAGAGCAGCTTACAAACTTCCTTTCCCTTCCCCTCCCCACAACAGACACCCTGTGAGGTGGGTGGGGCTGAGAGAGCTCTTGAGAGAAACTGCTATTTTTCAAGAACAGCGCTTATCAGAACTATGGCTTGCCCAAGGTCATCCAGCCAGGTGCAAGTGGAGGAGTGGGGAATCAAACCCAGTTCTCCCAGATTAGAGTCCGCGCACTTAACCACTACACCAAACTGGCTCTCAACTGGGGAGGATCCAGAACCGTTACTGCAGTGGCTCCTCCTTTTTGGAACTGATTTCCAGAAGAGATGAAGACAACAGTATCACTTCCAAGCTCCTACAGGGAGTGTAAAACTTTCCTTTTTCACTCACTGGAAACTTTTATAAAGCGGTTTTATATGGTGTCTTTTTTATTGAGATTGATGCCATTGATGGTCTCAGAGGCATGACTTCCAGCATGTGTACTCCACATATACAGTAAATGATAGGCATATTTATGTGTATTTTATGCTTATTCTACTGGGGGGGGGGATTCAACAACCCTCCATCAATAACAACATACTTACCAATTGGTATCCCAAATACCCATTCCGAAGGTTGTCGGCAGTGGGGCTAAGGCTAATAACCCCCCTCCGACATTGGTGTTGTGCAGTGCCAGGTCTATAAATAAGACCACAGTCCTTCAGGACTTCCTTTTGGAACAGGAGGTAGACCTGGCATGTGTGACTGAGACCTGGGTGCTGGACGGGGAGACTAGCTCTCTCCCAGCTTGCCCTTCCTGGGTTCTTGGTCCTACACCAATCACGGACTAGGGGGCAGGGGGGAGAAGTGGCTACTTTCATTCAGGAGGCTTACTCCTTCAGGGCGCTCCTGCCGCTGGAGACCACGGGCATCGAGTGTGTCGGTCTGCTGCTGGAGGCTGAGGAGAGTTTGGCAATTTGGCTGGTGTACCTACCACCTAACGCACCGTCCAATAGCCTCCCGTCCCTGATGGAGGCCATATCAGGCTGGGCGCTGGAGCACCCTAGGCTGCTGGTCTTGGGTGATTTCAACGTCCATGCCGATGACGCGGATTCCAATCAGGCAGCGGACCTAGTGTCGTCCATGGCGGTGCTGGGACTCTCCCAATTCATAACGACCCCCACTCACCGGGCCGGACACACACTCGATTTGATCTTCGCAGCTGAGATGACAGTGGACCGGAATTACTGCTTTGGCAGTACCATGGTCAGACCACTATGCCCTAAAGGCCCGTCTGAATGTTCCACCGCAACCCTGTTTAGGTGGCAAGCAGATTTTAGCTTGCCTGTGGAGCCAAATGGACCCAGTACGGCTTCAAATGGCTCTGCGGGACCCAAAGCCCCTGGCAACTCATTGGATGACAGATATGGCTGAATTGGGACTTGTGACCATCTACAGGAAGCCATCTTTAATGTGACTGGAAGATCAATTCTATGCTAAGCACTTTAATTGTAATAATATGACTGTTTTATCTTGTTTTTATCTGGTTTTATATGTTTTATGTATTCTGGCACATAGTGCCTTTAAATGTAAGCTGCCCTGAGCCCATTTTTGGGGAGGGCGGGATAGAAACCTAATAAATAAATAAATGGCAGGTGAATGGAGTGGGAAGGAATTCAGAGGAGCAGAGCGCTTCAGACAAGAGCCTGCATCATGTGGCTGTAGCTCTTATCCTTAATGAAGTGTGTACAACCTCAGGGAAACCAGTCTTGGGCAGTGTACAGCCATGTGGTGAAGAGGTTTTCACCACTTCTCAGTCGCAGATGTAGAGTGAAAATGCACTTTGCTGTGTAGTCAGATACTAAATACAACCAGGTTCCCTCATAGCTGCATGAACTTTACTAGCAGTGAGCCTGTGATAAACATGATGGCTAGCTAAACAGCCGTCCAAGGACAGCATCATGGAAACCAAATTATAGAACAGAGATATCCTGAGCGGAATCCAGGCTGAAGGCTTTACAGGGAAGGACTTTCCAAGGCTCTGCAGAGCATTGCCGCAGATAAGGAAAGACAAACCAGCAACAAGGTCAGCCTTGGACTGGCACAGGAGGTCAGAGCAGAGAAGAGGGCAAAGCATGCATCAGTCCTATCATGAACCTGCAGGTCAGGTCAGAATCCGCTCTCGATCAGAGGCAGGGCATAAAGCACAGCTGCCAAGCAATTCCACAGAAGGGCAGTAGGACATTAGTCACCTACCTCTGGGTGGTGATGGCAAGTTTTTCAAGTTTTGTCCTAGCTTGTATTACTACATTCTTGAAACAGTTCTAAAGAAGTAAATTGGGTCATTAGAAAGAAGATAGCCAGGCCAGTGAAATGCTGGTCAGTGGCATCAGTTAGATCTAGTAAATAGGGTATTTTCCCCTTTGTTTTGAATGTCAGAGATATAAACATCCCCTTTCCCCAAGGATT